TTAGCAATCCAGCTCTTAACCACTGTGCCACCAGAGTTCCTCTCATTTATCACCTACGTATTAAATCTCCAATGAAATAATTGGCAAGGTTGAGGCCTGGTAACGTAGTTTTTGCCAGGTTAAAGTAAAAAGGGTGCTAATACTTTCTAACTGGGTATTGTAGGCACTCTAAAAAGTATTGATGAATTTGATTTATTAATATTAGTTTCTATTTGCCTTCCAAACTGAAGATACTACCATTAGGAAAGGTAACTATTCTTTGAAACCATAGCTGTTCCTCTTATGGGATGATGTGTCTGAGGACGATGTATTACAGCTCTTTTTCATCAGTCTAAGCCCTGGATACTTACAAGACATGATCAAGTTTTCTACCCTGCTCCACCTTTCTGCAAAGCTTCATCCATTCTGGAGTCGCTGGTTGGTGCAAATTATTAATGCATTCAGCCGATAACCAAAAGATTGGAAGTTCAAGTCTACCCAAAGATGCCTCACAAGAAAGGCTTGGTGATCTACTTGCCCTAAACCAGCCACTGAAAATGCTCCTTCAACACACATGGGTCGCCATGAGTCAGAATTCACACAAGGGTAATTTGTTATTGGTTGAATACATTTTAGATGCAGACCATGGAGAAACTTGGAGATTCCCTTTCTCCAAGCTATAGTTACTTGATGATTTAGCTGAGTTTTCATTTTTATTTTGATGGCCATCCCCCAAAAGGTCCTTCCTAATGAGTTCCTTTTACAGATATCATTCACAAGACAGCTGGTTCCCCCAAACAATTTGCAGAGCTGATGACTTCTGCTGCCAGACCACAGTCCACTGAAAAGCGTTCTCTTGCTCATTTGTCCAGTCTCTTACTGGTGCTGGAGTTCACTTGCACATCACTTGTCCAGTCTCTTACTGGCAATGCCCCACTTTGATGGAAAGGGAAGAGACAACAAAAGGTTGAAAATGCATGAGGCAACTTAGCATATTAGGTTTTTCACATATGGGTTAATTCACTGGATATATGGAAGGAAGTCAAGGTATTATCCTTCTTTTATAGCTGGGTCAATACGAGTTAGTTGTAGAATGACTTACTTAAAGTGAAAATATAATTTTTCAAGGACTGTGTACTAAGCATTGTGACATAGGTTTATCATATAATTAAAAAACAAAAACAAAACCTTTTAAATTGTGATTTGGATGCAAGATTGTGGAGAAAATTGGTTTTCCATTGAACAATTCATGTGGATTTTTTTGGATTGAATTTAATTTTTACAACAGTGGAATTAGTTATCAAGGGCTCTACTATACACAAGACAACTGAGGGTCAGAGAAGTTACGTGACTTGTCTGATATCACTACTAGTGAACAAGAAAGCCAGGGATGGAACTCGGCCTTCACACTAAACACACAGGGGTTGGTATTGCTGGTGTATTCCTAACCCCCAGCATGGGGGGGTGGGGGCTCTGTGGGAGACAAGACCAGGTGACCTACTCTCAGGAAGATTTCAGCCCAGGAAACACTGTGGGGCAAGTCTACTCTTACAGCAGTTCTGCTCTTTGAGTTGGGATTGACTAGACCACACAAAACAAGAGCACAATACCTAGTACACAGGAAATAGTAACTACTGCTGGTTAATTACTGGCTTTACGTCCTTCTCATTACATAACCAATTCAGAGTACAAGTCTCTATTTACAATACTACAGAAATTAGGGACAATTCCCTATTAATAGACTTTTGATTAACTTCCCTATTAATGGACAATTGGACTCATGTAAAAAGAAGACAACCTGCGCCCCCACCCCCCCAAACAACAACAAAAACACCCACACTAAGGCTGAGCAATCCTACATGGGGTTCTTTCCAAGACTATAAATCTTAATGGGAGCAGACCTCACCTCTCTCTTATGAGGCTGGTGAGTTTGAACTGCTGACATTGTGGGTAGTAGCCAGATGACTATATAGCTTGTTTTTTTCAGAATAATTCTAATCTCAGAAAAATTGTTAACTGTCTTCTTTCGGTCTCAAAAAACTTCTGTTGAAATTAGACAATAAACATATGGCCACGTTACCTATGACTTAGTAATGCTATTGCTAGAATTATCAGAGAAACTCCTACATTACAATCTATGGATGTAAATGAAAAGCAGATCACAAATAGCTATGCATTCAAAAATTGAATATTAAGCAGCAGTATAATGAATGAGCCATTCAACTATAATGCGTTAATGTTTGAAGCTCAGAAAGTTTTGTACAATTGGGTACAAAAATAAACAGTACAGTTCTCTATATAATAAACTCCCAAAACATGCGAATTACACAACATTGTGGTTTAGGATGGCAAATACATTTAGTAAAACTTCAATGCACAGCAAAGAGATAGTTGCCAACTCAATTGTGGAGGGAAGATCGGAGGAACTGGCAAGGGGATTTGTTCTGGGAGAAACACCCGAGACTTTCTAAGTACTTGCCAAGAGGCACATTGCTTCTGCTGGGTGGTGGGGCACTGGTGCTTTCTGTGTGAACTCTATCTTACAGCACACTACATATTATCTTTACATTCCATCATTTAAAATAGGTGTATAGATTAATCCTTATGCTCTCCAACTATTGTTTTAATAATTTTTATTAAACTGTAGATAACATTTTAACTTTTTACAGCATCACAGTGCTGCAAAGACATAACTCTTTTTATAGTTGAGAGGTCTCCACAATAAAGCACTTAATTATATAGATCTTCTACTATTTACAACAATGTAACTGTCACTACAACGGTGAGCTGGAGTCCAACTGGAAGGCATTTAACATTTTTTACTCCAACATAAATAGTATGCCAAGACGCAAAATTCTACTCAGAGCAACCCTATAGGATAGATTAGAACTTCCCTGTAGGTTTCTGAGGCTGCAACTCCTTATGGGATTAAAAAGCTGGTGGTTTCAAACTGCTGATCAAGGCATAAACCCTAAGCTACCAGGGGACCTTACATATTCTGTCACATAGTGTAAATCTAATTAGCATAAATTCCAAAAGTTTCCATGTAATGAACATCCCTGCGGATCATGCAATTTACACGTACTCTCATATAAGCGTCATAAGAAACAAAGTATTACTGCTTCTGTCATGCTACTGTGAGTTGCCACTGTATGAATTCTGACCCAAGGGGACCCGGAATTGTGCAGAGAGATGCTCCACAGTGTTTTTAGGAAAACGACTTTGCAGAATCAGGTCATCAGGCCTTTCTTCTGAGGGCTCAAACTACCTAGCTTTTTGCTGGTATTCCAGCACTCTATTGCTTGCACTACTCCTGGACTGTACCTCTCATACACAAGAGAAAACTTAGTGATGTGCCCACAGTCACACTGATAATACTTAATGATGACAGCACTCAATTCTAAGTATATTCCACCGAGGCTCTTTCCTCTGTGTTGGGTACCTCTCTCCTTGTAAGGTTGCTCTGACCCAGAGTACAGAGAAGTAGAGAGAATACTGAATACAGGGTCTGAATAATTATGTTTCAGTCTCAGCTTTGCTTACACTAAGAAAAGCCATCTTTGAAAAATAATTTTTCAGTTGGCTTCTTCATCTGTAAAGTGAGGTAGTAAGGATTAAATAGAAACTGATGCTCAGGTACTTGGTAAACTGAACAGCTGAACGAAGATAAGCATGTTGTTAGCTGCTGTTGATTTTCACTCAAGTGGACGAGAACCGCTCCACAGCATTCACAAGGCTGTGACCACTGGGGAGCCAACTACAAGGCCTATTTTCTGAGGCCCGTGGGTGGGTTTGAACTGTCATCCTTGGGCAAGTAGTGAAGTACTGAAATGTGACTCCCAGGGACTTTATCTTAATATACACTTCACAATGCTAATGATCAGAGCGACACCAGATTGTTTGGGAATTGTTAGAGAGCCTGGCTCATGGAAGGGATGTCCATGTAGAAATAACAGAATGTAAGAACTGAGAAACTAGTACTATATTATTCTACTTGCATACTCCCTAGAATCTGTGGCGGAGAGTTTGCTGGCTTGTTTGTGCCCCCTCCAATCACACGAGGAGAGCAGGCTCATTGCCTACCACTCCTTACTGCCTTGGGATTTCATGAAAAGCAAGGAATAACTATTAGAATCAGTAACATTCCATCTTCCAGTAGCCCTAAAAACATAAACTATGGGCCCAAGGAACTTTTTCTTATGTTCAAAAAACAGATTAAAAGGCACATCTTAGAACAATTTGAGTCTTTTGTTTTAAAAATGTTCAGTCTTCATAGTACACATACACATGCACGCACATAATGGGGCTTTAAAAAGATGGTGAAAAATGGAATTAGAAGATAGTGGGATTTTCCCCACCAAAAAAGCCCCCTTGTAGAGTGATTTAAATGCCTTCACATTCATCAATTCCCTTCAACCTAACAACAGATGACAGTTTGGAAGGGTGTGTTGTTACAATTAACCTCTTTCCACAGAGAAGTAAACTACAATTAAGGGTCAAATTGGTCATGGATATTAGTGCGGTAGAGCTCAATCCCAGATGCCTCCTCCTCGACTTCTCTTTGCTGCATCTTGTTTCTGGTTAACACGTCTATCACTTAGTCTGCAAGCTGCCCTCATAGTATTGGACTTTCACTCTCATTTGAATGAAGACTGTCTGGGAGGAAATCAGCACCCCGTTTTGCAGCTGTGGAAACCTGAGGGAAGTGAAAGAGTGGAATGAAGCATAGGGCATTCTCCTTGACCTCAGCGAAGAAGCTCCCGAAGGTGGAAGTGATCCTCATGGCTCCATCTCCAGTTCAGGAGAGGGACAACTCCTGTGTCAAACAAGGATCCCCTTTTCAAATGGCCTCCTCACAAGGCAACTGCCTGGCCCCAAGGTCCTTTCTAGGAAGGGAGGCTCCTTGTGAGGAGGAGAGGCATTAACGAGAATGGTGCTGAGGATCGGGCGAGGTCTCAAACTCCATTAAGTAATTTAGTTCAGCCCGATTCCCTCCCTGAGGTCGGGGCCCTCATCCTCACCTGTCACCCGCCCACCTGGGATTTGAGTTGAGGGGTCACCTGCGGTTGTAACCTGGGTCCGGGCAGAAGGTGAAGGGAGCCAGGAAACGAGGTAGCGAACCCAGGGCCCTCTGCAGCTTCTGCGCCTGCGTTGGCCGCGGACGCTTCCCCGACACGCTTTGCTTGTGCGCATATGTAGTGAGGGAGCGAGCGTCCAATCCCGTGTTAGCCGGAAGAGCCGAGCACTTCCGGGCTGGTTCTGCAGTGGGCGGGCTCAGGCCGAGCGTAGCCCGCCTTGCTGCCCCCGCCCCCCCACGTAGCGTGAGTGAGAGCGTGGACCTTGTGTTCGAGCCCACTCAGTCCCGGAGTGACAGGAAGGGAAACCCACGCCAAACATCCCTATTAGGATTAGCTTCAAGGAAGTAAGACACACTGAGGGCAAACTAATGATAGAAGGGACGGGTGGAAGGAGAGACGTAGACCTGGCCAGAGCACACTATAAATAGTCCTCAGTAGGTGTTTTTCTTGTGCTTGCCTGTATTTTCCACTTCCTTTCCATGCACTTGTAATGCTTGTGCAAAACGAGTAACTATGAACGTAATAGTAATAATGTGGAATTAATGCAGAATAAAACTCCCTTAGTTTTGAACTTTAGTTTCGGACGGAGAAAGCCATAGAATGTAATTCTTATTTCTGTGCCTGCTTAACGGATTTCTAATGTAATCAGTAAGATCTCCTTTTTGTGGAGACTTTCTATGGGATTTCTACTCCGGTAATGAATTTTAGTTTCGGAAACCCACAGGGCAGTTCTACCTTGCCCTATAGGGTCGTTATAAATTGACATAAACTTGATGGCAGTGTTCGGTAATACCAGATATACCAATACTAATAGAAAGAGTAATACCAGGCTCAATACTAGTTGCTGGGATACCAAAGTGGGATACAACCAAAGAAAGCTGAGTCAACCGACTCTATCATGGAATTTAAGAGCAGAAGGGAAAAAGACAGATAATCATAGACATGGAGACGAGTGAGCTAAAGGAAGGATATGTGGTCCTGGAACCTCGGTAGGAGACCGGCTAATTAGTGGGGTTTAGTTATGAGTTTGTGATTTCATGCATTCTTGTTCCTGTAGTGCCAAGGGCACTGTCTAACGACAAGCCACTTTGGAGTGCTGTCAATAGGGACACTTCTCCACTAGGACCCTAACAAAGTTTCGTGGCAACGACTTTAGGCATTGGAAATGTTTGAGGACACCCGCAGACTCCTATTCAGAGGCCAGTACCTGATAAAATACTGTGACAGTTAGACAGTACAAGGTGCTGAGGAATTAACTGATCATACCCTGACTTTAGGATTTTAGATATAGCCTAAGGACCCCTGATGGCGTACTGGATTATGAGTTAGGCTAGTACCTGTAAGATGAGTAGTTCGAAACCACCAGAGGCTCCAGTAGAAAGCGGAGCCTTACTGTTCCTGAAGAGATTACAGCACTGGGAAACCCACGGGGTTAGCTCTACTCTGTCCTATAGGGTCGCTATGAGTGGACATTGGGTATTTGTGAAACCGAACCTAGCTGAGTCTGACAGACGAGATTCGGTCCCTTGCTCCCTAACCTATTTGCTATATGACTTAGTAGTTAATTTTGCAGCTTCTCTTCTGCAAGCCATGAGACCTTGCAAGGTGGAAACTAAGATTTTTGCGATTATGCATATATTTGATCCGACGCCTAGTAAATGTCACCATCGTTTTAGTAACAATATTATAAGTTAGTTATCACAGCACTAGTGAATGCTTATTATTTCTAGGTTGATGGTGCAGGACGCTTCCCGGAAGTAATATTTGAATATGGTGGTTTAACACGCGTAAGAACCTGGGCGGGGCGATATTCAGGGAGCGGCACCAAAGGCCGTCTCCTGTCAGCCGGTCCCTAAAGCACCGCCTCCCCGGTCAAGCCTGAGCTCGAGCTCTGCCGCCACCACCGAGGCCACCTGCACTCGGCCCTAAGCCACTCCTTCCCTCTCGGAGAAGAAAGCCGGGACCGGGGGCTGAAGTGGGCATGCGCAACATCCGCGCTCTGCTTCCATTGGTCGCTGGGGAAAAGCGTAATTGACACGTCAAGAAAATACCGGAAGTGGGTCTCTACGGATCCGGGTGTAGGCCAAAATTCTCCACAAATTTGGGAGCGTTTACAAGACCGAGGAAGAGGAAGCCGAAAGCGGAGGAAATGAATGGCTGCTGAGATAACGTCTGCGTTTCGGAGACGTGCCTGTTCTAGTGAGGGGGTCTTAGTTGTGTGAACGACTGCAGGCCACCTGCTTTGCAGCAGCATGGAGGATGATGCGCCGGTCATCTACGGACTTGAGTTCCAGGTGGGTTGTGTGCGTGGGACAGAGCAGGTACTCTGCTCCCACAGGTAACAGTCATTCATGCCCTGACAGGTCTTCAAGGTTTGCAGATCACTCTCATACCTTTATTCCCAACAACTCTGCCCAGGCGCTCTCTTTCTCTTAATTCCCATTTTGCAGCCTAAGAAGTTTCCCCCTTCACTCGGTTACCCTCTCCTCCTTCCTTTTTGTAGTATTCTAAATGGCATTTCTAACAACACTTTAATAGGCACCTCCGTATGCTTATTTTTTATCTTTCCAACGTTTTTTTTCCTCTCTAGATTTTGAGTTCATCAAGGCAGGCAACGTATTTTTTTAAAAAAGACTTTAATTTTGGTATATTTTAAATGTACAGAACAGTTGCAAAGATAAACAGAAAATTCTTGTATCCTCTTCACCCTGATGTCAGTTTTACATAAATGTTACATTTATCAAAAGTTAGAAATTAACATGGATATAATACTATTAGTTAAACCAGACACTTCATTCTAGTGTCATCTGTTTTTCCACCAATATCTTTATTCATAATAACTTATGACATATCTGGAACAGAATTATATGCAGCAAATATGTTAAAAATGACATGTTTTTTGCTTTCACGTTATTTACAGTGAGCCAGGCAACAGTATTAAAAGCACAGATTTCGTGATGACTTCTGGGATTAAATACTGTCACCTAAGTCACAGTTTTCATGCTGATAATATGAGGAAGTAGAAATATGAATATATCCACTATGGATGTTGCAAAAATTAAATGAGTGAATACATTTATTTTAGGCATTTAGAACAGTGCTGGCACTTAGTAAATATAGTAAACATTCTAATTTATTATAATGAGAACTTTTAAATAAATTTCAGATAAGGCAGTAGATGTCATATGACAAACTATGTTACAGGACTTGACAGCTGGCTCTAACCCAGGCCAAAGATTGAGGGTGCCTTAAGAGATACCACTTGTTGGCAGTTTGAACCCATTCTGAGGTGCTTCCAAAGGGAGCTCTGAGAAGTCCAGGAGGTCAGCTTCCCAAAGGGCACAGCCCTGCACACTGAAGGGAGCAGCTCTACAATGCACATGCATAGTCATTTGTTGAACATGCATGTACTGTATGTCAGGCACTATGATTAGCACTGTACCAATATATCATTTACAGTAATTCTTTCACCAATTATGTGTATTAGGTGTTGTTCCTATTTTACAGATGAAGAAACAGACAGAGAGAGACAAATTACCTACCAAGGCCATTTAGCTAGTAAATGACCAGGGATTCCAATCTAGTTAGGCATCCAAACCAACCTCACCTCAAAGTCCCCTGATCTCTATGTTATTTTGTATTCTGCTAGCAGTGGACACATGGATGTACACAAAGGGCCTATATCAGTAGATTAAATTTTCCTTGGGTATAAATAAGTTAATATATTTATTTTAGGCATTTAGTGCCTGGCCTTTAGTAAACATTAAGTAAACATTCTAATTATTATAATGAGAACTTTTAAATGAATTTCATATAAGGCAGTATGTGTCATATGACAAACTGTTACAGGACTTGACACCTAAAGTGTGTGTCTTCTGCTAACACTACTTAATACCGTCATGATCTCTCCATAAAATTTCTTATATAACTTTGGATGACTTATTCTATGGTATACTGAGGGGAATGGTTGGAATACTGAAGTTTGTAATAAATGCCAGGACATTGGAGGTAAACATTTAAGGGATAATTATGTTTTGATGGAGTAGGAAGAGTTCCTTGACGTCTATACTAACAGTTTGGAATTTGAGTAGTTATTGGTAAGTTGGAATCAACTTGATGGCAGTGAGGTTTTTTTTCTCCTAATTGGTAGCAGATTTTGAGGAGTGTGACTGCGTTAGTGCTTTTATGGATTGAATTGTGTTCCCACAGTGCAGTGGATTTCTTTATATATGCAAGGACTTCAAAAGGTTCGTGGAAAATGGAATAAGATGATATGTTTTTCATTAACTTTTGGAGACCTTTTCATAAACGGTTTTTCTGGCTTTGTGTCTGTAGTTGTGGTGAGATGATTTACTCTGTCAAGGTCTTACTAGGAACTGATTAGTCTACTGTGCAAATAGCATATGTAAAACTACTCAGTAGGATTACATTGTCTTTTGGGAACTGGTCGTTTACTATGCAGATTAAGTGATTGCGCGGGAAATTATCCCTTCTTCCTAGGTTTATAAGAGACCAGAGGTAGAGGGGAATTGACTACCATTAAGAAAGGGTTCAGAGGGAAGTGCATTCGTTGGACCCAGTGTCCTTGTATTCATGAGTTGGTGAGAAATGGCAGCAACCATAGCAGAGAGCTCAGTAGCAGTAGCAGCAGCAGCAGCTTGAGTGGCTGGACCCAGGAGATGAGTGTAAGGCTGTTGCTGTGGCCTTGCTGACCCAGCATGTGAGAGAGAGCTGTGCACCTTTGAGCAGGTTGTTTGCCAGATTACTAAACTCACTGCTATCAGCTTGATCCTGGTTTATAGTGACTCTATCGGACAGGGTACAACTATCCCTGTGGGTTTCTGAAACTCTTTTTATGGCAGTAGAAAGCCTCATCTTTCTCCTTTCGGGTAACTGACCTTGAGGATAGCAGCCCAATGCATAACCACTATGCCACTAGGGTACAGTACCCCTAAATTTGTATTGTAATCCAAACCCCTCTATGAGAGCACTTGAAACATTTGTGGAAAACTTGAATTAAAAGGTGCAAATAACAAGTACAGACTTTCTCAACATAAGCTCCATCAAGGTCAAAACACAAAATTAAAAAAACCAAAAACAAACTTTTGATTGTGAATTAGGTAAAGGTTTACAGGGTGTAGCAATTTTAGATTTAACCATTCATACACATTTTCTTTCGATTCACTATTGCAATCCGCACAATGCACCATTTCTTATCCCATTTCCTCCCTGACTTTCCTGTTTCCATCATTCTTTCCCTAACCTTATGACTTTATCATTGGGTAAATGCTGTCCTTCCATTTTATGTGATTATTTTAACGGGAGGTGAGTTCAGTTTCAGATCTGATGAGTGACTAAGGGCCCTAGTCTTAGGGATTCCACCAGTCTCTGTCTGACTAGTAAGGCTGGTCTCTTTTATAATTTTGTGGGGCTCCCCCCCACCCCCACCCCCCATTGCCAACTCTATCCAGGACCTTCTAGTGGGATTCATCTCTGAGCAGTTGGTAGTGGCAACCAGGTACCATCTAGTTCTTCTGATCTCAGGGTTGTGGAGGTTGATGTTAGCAGGGCTCATTAGTCTGTTGGACTAGATGTTTTCATATGGCTTCGATTTCCATCATTCTTCTTCCTTCAAATGGGGAGAGACCAATAGTTTTCCCTCAGTTCTCTGTTCATGGACTTTTAAGACGTTAGTTGCTACTCACAAAATAGGAACAGACTATTGTCTTAATAGACGATGTTATGCCAGTTGACTTTGGTTCCTGTTACTTTAGTTTTGATCCCCTAGAGCCAGTAACCCATTCCTTCAAGATTCGTTTATGTCTAAGAAGATACGACACTTTTGTGCATGACAACACTAGGCATTAAGTTCATTTCTAAATGATGAAGGTCCTATGTGTTTAACGGTGTCACTGTAGTCATTTAAAAATATATATATGTTATTAACTGAAGAAAAATAGTTAAATCTGACTTGAATAGTTAAAACCTTGTCAGTTGATCCCCCACCTTGATGCATGCTGGACCTAATCTGGTTTTTACTGTTTTCTGTATTTTTGTTTTATTTAGCCATATTAAGGTGTATCTCAGAGGTGATATGTCATTGGAGGTCACCCTCTGAAGTTGTGTTACATGTTTTCCCATTTTTTGGTGTGTGATACTCAGGATTGATGAACCTATAGGGACAGCAAGAATAAAGGTTTTGGGGGTAGGGTAGTACAGGGGTAATGGAGAGATAATAGGGAGGTGATTTCAAGGAACCCAGGAAGACTAACAGTGCTTTGAAATTGATTGTGGTAGCAGTTGTACAATACTGCTTGACATGATTGAACTATGGAATGATATGATATATGTATTAACTCCCAATTAGTGATAAATTTAAAAAATGACAAAGAACAACAAAAATATTTTTTTAAACAATAGGAAACAAAAAAGTAAAAAGGAACCAAATCAGAAATGATTTTTAAAAAAAAGACAAATTATGATTGTAAAGTGGAGGACTAATGAGTTTCTATTGAAAAGCTCACAAAATACCCTTTTTTTTTGATGAGGAGAATAAGTGGGAGCATTGTTGTAGCTGAGAAGAACTTTCTATTTTTAAAAAATTATTTTATTTATTTAAAAAAATAATTTTATTGGGAGCTTGTACAGCTCTTGTCACAATCCATATATGTACCCATTGTGTCAAGCACATTTGTACATTTGTTGCCATCATCATTCTCAAAGCATTTCCTTTCTACTTGAGCCCGTGGTATCAGCTCCTCATTTTTTCCCCTCCACCCCCCCCCCCATGAACCCTTGATAATTTATAATTAGTATTGTTTTTCATGTCTTACTCTGACCAATGTCTACCTTCACCTACTTTTCTGTTGTCCGTTCCCCTGGGAGGGAGTTATATGTAGATCATTGTGATCAGTTGTCCATTTTCCCTTACCTTCCCCTTCCCCTCCTGGTATCGCTACTCTCATTTTTGGTCCTGAGGGGTTTATCTGTCCTGGATTCCCTGTGTTTCCAACTCTTATCTGTACCAGTGTACATGCTCTAGTTTAGGCGAATTTGCAAGGTAGAATTGGGGTCATGATAGTGTGGGGGAGGAAGCATTAAAGAATTAGAGGAAAGTTGTATGTTTTATCGGTGCTACACTGCACCCTGACTGGCTCGTCTTTTCCTCGTGATCTTTCTGTAAGGGATGTCCAGTAGTCTACAGATGGGCTTTGAGTCCCCACTCGCACTCCCCTTCACTCACCTTGATATGAGAGAAGGACTTTCTAGTGCAGCTTTACAAGTGTTTTTTTCC